CGGGTGATTGATCTCGAAAATCGTGTTCAGAGTCTGGAAGACATGTTAAAAGTTAAAGAAGAAGAGTTGAGCAAACAAGCTGAAATGATAGAACAATTGAAACAAATGTTGTTGGATAGCCAATTGTTAAAAGTTAAAGAAGAAGAGTTGAGCAAACAAGCTGAAATGACAGAACAATTGAAGCAAATGTTGTTGGATAGCCAATTTAAAAAACGGACAATAATACATAAAATTTTGGAACGTATAAAACGTAAAAAAATAAATCACAGATATATATGACACATACTTTGTGCAATTTTTCACATAAATTGGGAATGATCTTACTATCGTAAAAACCGTTCAGAAGATTTTTAATAGCATGTGGTGAATTTCTTTAGTTCATGTCTATAACAACAGCAAGCATTTAAATGATAGATTGCTATAATTTAGTTATGAAATTTATGTTGAACTGGTTTTTAATATAAACCGTAACTAATGACGACATGATCTGAAAATGTATATATATTTGCAAATACTCACAAGAATCTTAATGTAGTTTTAAGCTGTAATGAATAAAAGCATAAGTATGCGAGCAAAAAAACTACTGTTTTATTATCATTTTAAAATTAAGTTGTTATTTGAGATTCAACATTTAATATTATCTGATTTAATAAAAAATCTTTTTATTTTTTTTTGGACAACTTGACCTTACTTTTGATCAAACGAACCTGATTATCTAGTATATTTTTAATTCAATAAGTCTTTAAATTCCATTTGTAAAAAGAGAAAAGTGCCTAATCATATTAAATGAACCCTATATTTTCTACAATCTTTGCTTGATGTCGGTTTAGAATATGGTTTAAAATTTCACTATAGGATTCTGTGTTATTAAAATTAAAAATGATAAATTTATTTTCGATTTTAAGTTTGTTTCAGAATTCTCCGAAGTAAAAACATAAATAGGAGTACACTATTTCGATTCATGATATAAGACTCGTCACCTCGAATATGTCATAATTACGATCAGTATTCTTCTTTTCTTATGCTTAGAACAATATTTGCATAGAATAGAATAGTATTTCAGTATAAGCATTCCATATTTCTGCTCAAGATCAACCACTAGAATTGGATTTTTGTTTTTTATTAATTGAA